GGTGGGTGGCGGGGGTGGGCGTGGCCACTCTAAAAGCTCTCTTTCATTGGTGTAAAACAGGAGGGGGGTCACTGTATGTATGGGCGTTAAACACTGCTGCCTTTGAAAGTGAGGAGCCACTGCCATTAGAAAGCCACAGCAGAGGAGACAGGGAGTGGAGTGTTTCTGCAGGAAACAGCGTCCGCGTGACGACCCTCACGTAGCCCACATCTGATAGGTGAGTGGGGGGTTTCATTCATTATTTCAGCTGTGTTTACAAACCGAAAAGGCCCCTTTCTGCTGCCTGATTGGCTTAGATTCTTTCCAAGGTGTTTCAGCAAACCAGGCTTTAAAAAAAGAAACCAAAACAAGACAGAAAAGGAATCTTAATTTATTGCATTGGTGTATACTAATTTTTGTTTTGTTATTTATGTTCTTTATTTAAGAAAATAAATGTTATATTTAATTACAATTTTATAATGGGACGTATCACAGTACTGACACTATAATTTAGCTTGCTCAATTAATTTAGAGATATTCAAAGTTACTTTACAAGAAAATGTTTATCAACAGGCAAACGTTTTTTTGTTTTGTTTTTTACATTGTCAGCATATTTCTGTTGCAAATGAATTCTCCCTCAGGAAATATGTTTTAAAGTGAATTGTGTAGTTAATGTTGACTTTGAATATATATATATACAGAATCTGGACCATGAAATAGAAATACTGGTATTTAGGCTGCATTCGGTAGATAGTGAATAGACTATTAGGAATCAACTCGAGCAACCCCACCCTCTCTAAAAATAAACGTCCAACAGAATGCAAGACATTTATGAAAATTACCTAAAATCAGATCAAAACCATTGAAGTTAATCATAAAAAAATCTTCATTGTTTTTCTTGTTATTAGGATTAACACAATAGTTTTATTTTTTATTTTTGTAGCTATTCAAAAATTGAAGTCATCAGCTCAGGGTGTCAAGTGGCATTGATAGCTAGACTGGGCAATTTACTCCTCTTGTTTAATTAAACCTTAGCTGTCCTGAAGTTTTACTTCTATTGACCACAGAATTTTATTAAAGGTTAAAACACATGATATGAGCTGATGTAGATGTCCGGTAACCCTGAGAAAGGTTGACTTTTACTTACTATTATTTACTTTATACTGTAGAATGTTATAAAATGCTTGATCAACTAATATTACTAATAACAACTAATAACCATGTCAAATTAACCAATGAGTTACAGAAACTTTTAACAATAGCAGAGTGTTTCTATCAGCAGGAAAGTATCAGAGTTTTAGATAAAATTCGATATAATTATTCAGCTTATTGGACCGATATCGGATTGGGACATCTCTATAATATATACTCCCACATAAACAGATTATACAGAAATTTAGCAAAACCACATGTATGTGGATGATATCCATCTTCTCTGCTTCCTTAAGGAATCTAAATAGCAAACTCCTGAGTAAAACAATTACTGTATTTTACAATTCTACCCCTTTCTTTTATCAAAACATGAATCTAATTAATTACCTCATCTTGTTTCCTTCCCCTTCAAAGGAATGTCTCTGAGCTCCATCAAGACGTTCAGCCTGAAGCTGGACAGTCCTGCAGATGCAGCCTTCACGGTTGGGGAGGTGGTGTCTGGCCTGGTGGTCCTGGACCTCTGCAGGGCCACACGAGTGCAATCCATGAAGGTGCAGGGGAGAGGGGTGGCCACTGCGCACTGGCTAGAGAATCGTGGCATGAACTCGGTGTATAATGACTACACCTCCAAAGTCACCTATTTTAGGAAGAGGCAACATCTGATCAGAGGTCAGTAAAGGTAGTAAATTATGAAGGTGCACAAATATTATTGTAATTTCAGTTTATATACATTCTTAAAGGGCTACCAGACTGTCAGTATATGTTAATATTTCAGATGCATGTATTTAAAGCCCACTTACGGTACCTTAAAATATTTGACCAGCTAACTGGACTTTCCCTGCCTTTTATGCTATCAGCTGATTTTTGTCTTACATGCAAGGTTTGCAAGCAAATGGCAGCTTGTCAAATATATAAAAGCATGTTGGTAAAAAAAAAAAATAATGCATCTGAATCTATGCATCTGAACAGTGTTGTAGTCCCCGAGGTTTACAAAGAAAATTTGCTTGGGCCAAATGTGTTCTATGGAAACTTAGGAGAAAGGGCAGAGAGATCTGCCAGATAAGACAATCGTTGACATCGAACACAAATCTATGAGTGCAGAGTCCAAATACACACCGTGTGTTAAAGACTGAAATTCCCCCAGTGGAGAAGGCCGGGGCTTAAAATAATGCAATCGTAGAATATAGGCAATAGAAGCTTGTGAATAAACTGTGGCAGGTTTAGTGTTTGGCTGTGTCACCTGCCAATATCCCCCCCTATTTGGTAGGTGACAGATATAAGCTTGATTTTGTAGCTTTAAGCATTAGTCTAACTGCATGGAATTTTTAAAAACTTTTATTGTAATAAAAACACTATTTGAAATTATTTAGGAGAGGAAAGCAGTTAATACTTATATGAATCCTATTCTTTTTTTTTAGGTGTAGAGGCTATTTGTTTATGTATTCTTCAACAATAATCTGTTTGATCTTTTAAATGATTTTGTGCCACATCTCTAAATAAAACAGAATAATTAAGTCACTCCAAAAATGCACATGACTCCTGATTATTAAACTGTTGTAATATGAATTATGCAACATGAAATGGTAATTCTCGTTCATTGTTGTCTTGACCTGCAGCCATAAAGTTTTTATTTTATCACAGCGGGTTAATAAGTGTATAAATGTACATTTGGAAAAAGGTGAATACTAAATAGAGAGATAAGAACTTGGTTGTATCTGTCAGTTTGGGCTAAAGCAGAAATAAATGCAGAGTTGACACAGGAAACACAGTGAGCCAGTTTTTAAAAAGAAACAGCTTCGTCACCGTGGCAACAAAGAAAACAACACGTGGTTCTCATTGGCCCCTCCCCCTACAGATATGGCAAGCAGATCTGCTCATTTACTTTACAAAGCTTTTGTAAATACTTTTATTAGTATTATAAGAAATTAATGCTGTTTCCAAATTTCATTTAATGTCAAGTTTTATTTATATTTCAGTTTTAGTAATATTTTATTTGAAACCCTATGAGGGTTTCAATTGAGACAGACTCGCTTGTGTGAATGCAGCTACTTTCCCCTGGAGCCGCTGCAGAGTTAAACTCTTTTTCAGCCACAGAGTGGGGTTAATCTCACCAAGACATCTGCACAGTCAGGGGGATTATCTCTCACTTCAAGGGTTGCAGGGACCACATCGTGGGGCTCTTATCTGTAAAGTGACAAGGCAAGCTACTCTGCAGCTTACTCTCTCCAGCAGGCGGCATGCTTGCTCTGCATCAGATCTGTTTGAAGAATTTTAAAACAAAACATTGACACAAACGTTGGTAATGATCTTAATAGAAAAAGATGCACGACCTAACAAATGTTGGGGAGTTTTCTTACAATATTGCTGACTCTGCAAGAATCCCTGTAAACATTTCAGAATAGTTACCTGCCCCATTTTAGGGGATTGCTTTTGGGAACTTTCTTGAGTATATATTGTGTTTTGTTTTGTTTTTTCCGAGAATGTCGACCCTTATCCTTACTACCAGTCGTTTTTTGTTTTTTTTTTCATAACAAAAACTCGTTACTTATCTGCAGGCATCTTTATTGTCCTGCAGCTTTTTTTTTTTCCTTTTTCTTTTTTATAACAGTTGGCCAGTTGGGGGCACTAGAGAGCCACTATCCCAGGAACAAAGGAGTAAACAACTTTGTTTTTCACAGAAAAGACGCGATTTATTGGAAGAGTTGAACTGAAAGGACTTGAGCAACAGTAGAGCTGAGAAAGATTTCGATAAAAAGTTTAGAATTAAGAGTTTTATCTAGGATGTTGCTTTGCTTTTGTTTCATTCATTGTAAGTTTATATCAGTTTGATTTCAGCTGATAGTCTAGATGCTGCAGCCTTTATGCGCAAAAACAATTGTGATAGTTTCTGTTTCGCTTTATTATTACACAAGGAATTGTTATAATTAGTTGGTGCTTTGTCGTGTGTTTTTATTTAAAAGCCGTTTCGCACTATGAAACAGAAGAAGTGGAGTAAACAGCTTTAGTCCAGAGTGAAACAATTTTCCCCTGAGCTCTGCCAGACTGGGGCATGCTCAGTAAGCCTGTTTTCTTCTAAGAACCTGTAACCATCAATCATCACCCTGTTTTCCTCCTCTACTTCCACACCCAGTCTGCATGTTTACTCTGCTGCCTTCAAGGACACTCCGGAGTTTTATGTGAAGCTGCAGCAAGTGACTTTTGTACGAATTTAAAGTGCCTAATAGTTTTTTTTGTTTGTTTGTATGTTTTTGTTCTTTTGTACAAATTTCCTGTTCAAAAGATTAGCTTCTTATAAAATCTGGTTTTATTAACTTTGATTGCTCTAAATATTTGATTTGGTAAAATTTTAAAATTCCTAAATGTGCATGATTGATATATTTTGCGCATTTTGGTTGGTATGTTTTTAATTTCTAACAATTCAACCTATTTAATTCTCCCTGTAAAATCTTGGGGGACAGACATTACTGTCAAAATAAGTAAAATTTATAATTATTATTTATACCGTTATCAAATATTTTTTTCTTTTATGATATAAGTTGTCGAAATTGAAGTAACATTTTTTTCTTTCTTTCTTTTTTTACACTTATCAAAATTATAAGTTGAAGGTTGGTGGGAAATATCTGAGTCTCCTGCTTGGAATTACAGTTTTGCAGAACTTTTCTGATAATCTTATATTAGCTCATTGTATGACAAACTAAAAAAATCTTAACTCTAGTTTAGATTAATGCTTTAAAAATATTATAAACAATGTTTACTGATGTGATACTAGTTATGAAAAATGAGATTCACCTTGTTAGGGAATGTCGTGCTTTAGGAGTTTAGTACTGTGTTGTCTGTGCCAAGAAGGAGTTCCTGAACGCAGCATGGCTTAGCCTTCAACCCTCTCCTGAGGCCTTGCATAATAAATGTGAAGCCACGCCCACCGAGCAGTCTCCAAAAAGGCTGCCCTCGCGCTTAGCTGCACACTTTGAGCTTTTTCACCAGCAGGGAAGCAACTTCAACTGCGACATTTAAACTTCCTCCGCAAAAGAAAGACTGAATTTTCTCTCAGAAGAAACATTACCAAATCGCGGAAATGATTTTCAACAAGTTGAAAAAGTTTCTGGTGATTTTTGACTCTCCGGAGATGGACTGTCCCCCGGTGTTCAGCAGCGGGGACGTGGTGTCCGGACGGGTGGTTCTAGAGCTGCTCAGCGAGACCAAAGTGGACTCCCTGAAGCTGCACGCCGAGGGGTTCGCTAAAGTCCACTGGACCGAGTCTCGGTCCGCCGGCTCCAGCACGGCTTACACCCAGAACTACAGCGACGAGGTGGAATACCTGAACCGGAGAGAGGCGCTGCTGCAGGCAGGTCAGTCCGCTGGTGATGGGACGGCAGGCAGGGGAGCTACGGTTCTGCTTTGGCAGAGTCATTGATTTTCTGCTAATCAGAGTTTGGGTTTCTATCCAAGCTGGAGCAAGCATTGAAATGATCCAAATCCTTTTATAACAATAACTTATTTTAGTTTTCTTCTTATTTGTTGCAAATAAGTGTCAGAAAACCTTTAATGCATGTATTAGTTTAGTAATAAGGTGTCCAAACATTTGAGGAGCTTCCTCCTCTTTGGGAAACCATCTGCTGTTGCAGATTCTGAGGTTGTTTTTCTCTACAGAACAGGGAAGCCTCAGGTTTCTGCCTTCATTCATCTAGTACAGAGCTGCTTCAGTTTAAAGGGCAAAGCAGGAAGTCTGGGGCTTTGTTTTTCTAAGGCTGAACTTTCGATTATATATCATCTTTTAATAAAAACAACTTTTTTTTTTTTTGTTCCACTTGAGGTATCCTTGTATATTACAAACCACTTTACTTCTGAATCAGTTTTGCAAATAAGGCTCCAGTTAAACAGAAATACTTCTCAAGATAGGTGGCCAGCCTGTTGAGCCCAAACATGTGTTATTAAAACCTATTCTGCAAGAATTGAATAAAGCTGATGAAATGGGCTACATCTTATGGCTTGAGGGAGGAAAAACATCTTCTCTGTCAGCACAATGTAAGAACCTCCCTTCGAACAAAAACAAAGACCATGTGATTGCTAAGAAAAGCAAAGAGGTTATAGCTGAAGTTTAGAGTTAATGCTTGAATCTGCAGAATTTATGCCCTTCATATTTAATCTCTCCTCCATTTAGATGGAAATAATGTACAACTTGTTAACTAAACCATTTTTTTCCCATCTTTCTTTGCATCTCTGCAGATAATGGTGAGGTGACTGTCCTTCCTGCCGGCAGACATGAGTTCCCGTTTAGTTTCCAGCTTCCAGAGGAGACGCTCGTCACCTCCTTCGAGGGAAAGCACGGCAGCATCCGTTACTGGGTCAAAGTAAAGCTGCACAGGCCTTGGTGTCCCGTCAGGAAAATCAAGAAAGAGTTTACTGTCATCGAGCCCATCGACATCAACACGCCAAGCCTGCTGGTGCGCAACTCATTCCTATATTTGTATATGTCTGCTTGGATTAACCCAATAATTACTAGAATTTTTTAAAGCTTGTGATTTATTGAATTGTGTTTTATATTTTCAGGCTCCACAGGCAGGGACGAAGGACAAGCTGGCACGGACCTGGTACCACAACTTTGGACAGGTGTCTGTTACTGCAAAGATTGACCGCAAAGGTTACACTCCAGGTAAGGAAAGCCTCCATATGATCATCTTTAAAGGCCCATTAAAGCATCTGCAGGTTTTAACATGCATCTTCTCCCTGCAGGCGAGGTTATTCCTGTATTTGCGGAGTTTGACAACGCCACCTCCAGATCAATAGTACCCAAAGCCTTCATCACTCAGACTCAGACGTTCATCGCCCGCGGCACCATGAAGCAGAAGCGCTCCGTCGTGGCCACGCTGTGTGGCGACATCGTGAGCGCAAGGACGAGGGAGACGTGGCACGGTCGGGCCATCAAGATCCCACCTGTGGGTCCATCAATCCAGCAGTGTCGCATCATCAAGGTGGAATATATGCTGAAGGTAAGTTCATCTTCCAGAAGCTGGTTCTGTTTCCGTCTTTTCATATTCAAAAATCACTTTTAAATCTGTATCAAAAAATGCTAACCCTTTGTGTCCTTTCAACAAGGTTTGCGTTGACGTTCCGGGGACATCAAAGCTGTGTTTGGAGCTTCCCCTTGTCATCGGCACCATCCCGCTGCATCCCTTCGGCAGCCGGACGTCCAGCATCAGCAGCCACTACAGCTTCAACCTGGAGTGGTTGCGCATGGCTATCCCAGAGCAACCTGAGCGTGAGTATCCTTTAACGATCCTAAGAGAGCTTGGTGTTTATAGAGTCAGATCAGTTGGATAACCAGCCTGTTTCCCTGCAGCTCCTCCAGAATACAGCTCTGTGGTGACAGAGGAGGAGGCAGAGCAGCGAAACAGCTCAGCGGTTCAGGAGCCGGCGGAAGACCTGAGCGGGATCTTGGAACGACCCCTCAGGGATTTCCTCCAAGAGTTTCGCTTCCGACCTCCACCTGTTTACAGTGAGGTGAGTGACGCAACACTATTACTTTATAGTAAAAATACTAAAATTAAATATTTTTTTTTCTGGTTACTTAAAAGAAAAAAATTGCCTGAATAATTTCTAAAAAAAAAAATCTTAACTCAAAATTCATGAAAGCTTCTGTGGGTGGCGTAGGCTGGAACTTGGCTGCCTGCCTTATTTTCTGGTTGCCTAACCTTCATTGCATATTTTAATGTATGTTTTCTGCCTACAGATCGACCCCAACCCTCAGCCCCTCAACATCAGACCTCGCTGCATGACGTGTTGAACCATGAGCCCCACCTTAGCGACAAGCTACGTTTTGAGCTAAACAAATCAAGAGATTTGTTGTCTTCTGGATTTATTCCTCATTGCTGAACGAGCACCTGGTCCCTGCCTGGGTGGTGAAGGCGGACTGGAGCGCCACGGACAGGAGATGGAGCTCACAGGAGCTGGAGGCTTGCAGAGATGAAGTGGACTTTTTCTGGTTCTGCATCAGTTCCTGTCCTCCACAAGTGATTTAATGTTTCTTGCTCTCAGAGAAATGAGAGACGAAATACCTCCCAATCAACAATTTCGTTCTTTTTGTGAGACGTAAGGAGTTTGGGTCAGATTGAGGGGGTTAGGATCACTTGATATTTATCAGGCAAAGTCTTGCTCTGAGTGCTTTTGATAAGCTGTCATATTCAGAGGCACCATGTCAGCTTTGATTGGCATGAAAATTATCCTCGGTTCAAACTTTGCCTGATTGCAGGGAAGATGTTACATGCCTACATTGCTATGCGTTGTTACTTGATGGCTGTGTAATGTTGCATAAGCATATAATGTACATGAAGGTACATGATTTAGCTGAGAAGTCGAATAATGAGAGGCTGATGTCCTTAATGCATGCAGGTAAAAATATGTGGAAAAAGAACAACGTACGCCTTTAATAATCTGCAGTTAAAGGTGGCATGAGTTTTAAGCCTGGTGTTCTCTGTGAGCTGGGTAGAGCTGAATGTTAGCAGAGAGCAGAAAAAAAGAGCAGAAAAAAAAGTTAAAGTCAACAAGAAATTGTGTCAAAGCAAAAGCTGAAAACACTGAAAGTGGGAAAGCTGTGGTGTTTGGTTTAAGAGGATCGCCCACAATAAGGATGTTGAAGTTTGCCACAAAGATGTGCTTTTAGGGCTGCTAAACGGAGGAAAGACCTCTGAGCCATACGGACTGAATTCTCCGGTGCTGTACGGTCAAGCTTTAAAGCTGGAGATGCCACTGAAATGTATGGACTAAGACCATTCCAAATAACTGACTTTGAGGATTATGTTTTTATTTTCCTAAACTTCCAAAAAAAGTCAGTCTGTATCAGTTCAGGGTCAGGTGTGTGATGTCAGGGCACACTCTGAGGGGGAAAAAACATGGCTCAAAGATAAATGTATTTTTTTACAAATGCAATTGTTTCTGATGTACACCAAATTTTTCTATACCTTTTTAACTAATAAAGATTTAAAAAATATGCATATTGTTGGTTTTTTGTTTTAAGTTTTCCAATTAAATACAAGCACATTGATGAGCTGAAATGTTATCATAGGCAAATTCAGTTCCATCAGGGGACAGAAAAATAATTTTATTGATTCTTTAAACATGGTAATGCAATCTCGTTTCACTGGATTTCATGTGATTTGATACAGAGCCATGAACAGCAATAACATTTTGTGGCTTGTGACATGGATAAGCCACAAACTTGCACAGTGCATGCTTCTGCTCTAGAAATACTTCTATTTAAAAAAAATAAATAAATCTGAGACATTTGTCGGAGGTGCTTCTAGAAGAAATTCAACCACATTCTGAATCATTGCTGCCTGTGCTTGGTCATCTGCACTTTTTCCTTTACTTATTTTTCCAGTAATATTTTTGGATACATCTTTCTGACCAGCTAAGATTTCTCAGAGTAACATGGGCTGAAGCAGTCGTGCTTTTAAAATCTTTCAGTCTAATACAATAAAGTGACTTTTGCAACAAACCAAACTGTTCATCTGTTAGGCATAATCATGAAAATATAAGAAATAAGTACTTATTTCACTATTATTCACAGAATGAGTCTGTGATTTTTAGATTGAGTGGGAATTAATTATCTTTTCACTGATGTGAATTTGTAGACATGCACTTGCAAGGTGCATACTCTATCATGAACATAAATGCCAGGCACTTTGTTTTTGTTGCATGCCAAGAAACGGGTGTGCCATGTCCAACGCTTGAGTTAACTGGAAAAACAAGCTGCACTCAGTGAAAAAAATGACCATAATTACAGACCAAAGTTACAATGGTTGCAGATTAAATGTACAATTTTCTGAAAAAACAAAAAACAGAACAGCAGGTCGGGTTTAATCATCTTCAGTTCAGTTTGTTTACATGGCTATATACAAAAAAGAAACCAGTCATGTAGATTCACAGAATGAATGAGCTGTCTGGTAAATTGTAACATGCAAACTTCAACGCAAAGCTGTGAACATCACTGGGAAATTCTTAATTTTTAAAAAACTGTGTTGATGGAGGATGATCATCCAGATAGGAGGCAAATGGGGGCAAAGACACCTGTGGTAACATATTAAGATCAGCAAACATATAGTTGAACATTTTTAAGAAGCAGCACATTTAATTTCAGGATTAAAAATGTACTTTTTTGAAAAAAAATGAAAATTGAAAATAGAAATTCTCATAAAATGTATTAATTGAACATTTAAGTAACAAAAATTATATTTTAATGCAGAAATTTCATCTAGTGTTCATGCTTAAGGAAGATTTCTGACTTGACAGTTTCCAATTCTCTTAAGAGAATCTATATAGCACCAATTCACAACACATCATCTCAGGGCACTCTAATGAGACAATACAGTCAAATTGGTTTTTGACAAGGAAAACCAGTTGACTGCATCCAGTCATTGACTTGCAAGACATGCTCCTCCTGGATGAGCTTGTGGTGACGATTTTCACTTGAAATTTGTCGTTGATTCTTAGCAATCCCTCCCATTGAGCATGCATGTAGCAACAGTGGAGAGGAAAAACTCCCTTTTATCAAGAAGAAACCTCCAGCAGAACCAGGCTCAGTGTGAGCGGCCATCTGCTGAGGCCGACTGGGTTTCAAGGAGGCAGAACCAGACATAAAGGAAGAAGCAGAGATAAAAAAGGTTACTATTAACCAGCTACACAGCTGGCCCCATCTAGGAAAGACAGCCAGGCAGAAGAGCTCCGAGCCAGCTCCAATGTCAGAGGATGAAAGTGATCACATACAGTTAGTTACATTAAAAGAAACCTGACTACACTAAAAAGCAGGCCAAGCTCCAACATCTATAAACAGAGATGTTGATGGCAGCAGCAAAGCTGATATTTCAGGATGGATGGACAGCCAAACAGGAACAGACCAGATGAAGCTCTAAGACAAGAAAAAGCAGAGACTGCATAACGTTGTGGGTGGAATTTAATAAATACTTTAGAATAGGAGAATCGAGATAGAATGAGGCAGACTGAGGAAAAGTGGTCACTATGTCCTCCAGCAGTCTAAACATACAGCAGCATATCTTGGCTAGGGAGTAAAAAAACTAGACTGTAACTATCATCCAAACTCCTCATTTAGTTTGAATTTTTCTTTTCTTTTTCTTTTATTTGATCTCCCTGTCTAGAGGAGGAGAGGCGGCAAAATACTCCCAATTGCTTGATGTCACATGTGAGGTTTCCACAGTGAGTGGGAATTTGGGGAGTTATGTTATCATCTGGGCTTAGCTGGATCAAGTCCAATGCCATTACCAGAAGGTTTTGGCTTTTGTTTGTTCAAAGAACAGCAGGCTGGTTCAGTGTACATGGTATCGTTGTGCTGAATTTACTGGAGAACTCACCTAAACTAAACAGTGCAAACAATCTAAAGAGCATCATCGGGAGGAAGATAAGGGGGAAACAGAACCAACCAAGAACATCAGCTACAGGTGGCTATTAAAACAACCAGGGAATTTACCTCTTTTTCCCTTTTTTTTCATTATTAGTCAACACTAACATTTTAATATGAAATAAATTCAAATATCAGACATATTAACTTGATTAAATCAAAAATGTATTATTTTAACGAATCGATTTATTTATGTGGTAAAAATGGATTTCCAACCAACCTTGCCCTATATGAAAATAAAAATGACCCAATTAACTGTTATGACTTATTATTAGGTTAATATTCAGCTTTACCAGCCACACTCAGCCTTATTTACTGTTAAATTCCTCCATGTTATCCATGGAGGAGTATAAAGTGGAACAAACTGCATATACAACAGACAAAAAAAAAAGGCCAGAATCTGCAAAAAAAAAAAAAAAAAAAACTCTTTAGGATCCCCCAAACCTTGGGAAGAGAAATCTGTGTTCTGAAAAGACAAAAGTTTGGGGCACTTTTTTCACATTTTGTTTCACATTGTTAAGTTTACTTGTCAGGTTTTTATTCCATAATGATATCAAAAAGCAGGAACCCTTGATGACATTGTTGTTTTCTGTGACCAAAGCATGGTGGGAAAAAGTACTGCGATCTTACCAACATTTACATTTGGTTGAATTCTGACAGATGTTTGTGGCTCAGTTTAAATACATTAACCTATGAGCTTTTCCTCAAATGGTTTCATGAATGACTCAAAGTGTATGAAAAAAAACAACAATTCACTAGCAGGAATAGCAACAAAAGTTTAGATTTAAGGCCCTAAGGACAAACAGAGATGGGAATTAAACCCAAATAAACAGTTCATATCCTCCAGTGTTGTAAATACATGAAACAACAGGCTAGATTGTTTTTTTTTTTATACTGGCAACACAATGTTACCATGTCTCTCTTTGAGGGCTGTATATTCAGGGTGCAGTGCAGGGCTAGTTTTCCAACGGACATAGCACTTTCTACTGTTGGCCAAAGGCTTGCCCTCATTCAGACTCTGGGTTCAGAGAGTAAAAAACTATTTCAATCTCAGATCTTTGAAGTGTCCCACAACTTTTCAAATGTCTCTTTCCCTTCATACTGATAGTAGTTTAGCCAATCCAATGGCTAAACTACATAACCAGCATGCAGTCAAGCTAAGCAGAGAGCTGTTCTGCAAATGAACACAAAACACAATTATGTTTTATTTTATTTTATTTTTGTTTATAACACTTTATGATAGGCTAGGATGTGCACTACAATAATTATTTTGTATTATTATTTAATATTATTGTTGGTGGATGCACAGTGCAACAGTGGTTAGTACTGCTGCCTTGCAGCAAGAAGGTTCCAGGTTCTGCATGGAGTTTGCATGTTCTCCCTTTGCATGCATGGGTTCTCTCCAGGTACTCCGGCTTCCTCCCACTGTCAGAAAACATGTCTGAAGGGTTAATTGGCTTCTCTAAATTCTGCTTAGGTTTGGGTGTGTGCATGAATGTTTGTTTTTCCTGTTTGTCTCTGTGTTGCCCTGCGATAGACTGGCGACTTGTTCAGGGTGTACCCCGCCTCTCAACCATTGATAGCTGGAGTTTGGCCCCAGCATCCGTTGGGACCACAGCAGGGATAAGCATGACAGACAATGGATGGATGGATGGATGGATGGATGGATGGATGGATGGATGGATGGATGGATGGATGGATGGATGGATGGACGTACGGACGGATGGATGGATGGATTATTATTGTTTAAATAATTATCAGTATTACCTCCATCTCCATGACGTTGAATCTCATTTTTCTTTTATGATTACTCTCAAACCCACAACGCTCCGACCTATTACACATACTAAAAAAAAAACATTCACATGAAATTTAGTCCCTCTTATTTGGAATCTTTGAAGTTCAAGCCCATGGTATCTGTAAAAATTATAATAACACCAACAAGGTATTTGCCCCAAAGGTTAATTTGAGAACATGCATTTGCTTCACCCTTTATTTCCTACAATAAAACACTTCTTCCCTGCAATATAGGTCATCTGTCCATCAATTTGCAATGCAGAGACACACAAAAAAGACAATCATGCTAACTCTGACACACTATAGGCAGCTTCCAGGGACCAATTGACCCCTGAGTCATGCTTATGCACCGTGGTTGAAAGCCAGAATATCTGGAGAGAGCCAGACTTGCTCCAAATGCTAAACCTTCTTGCTTAAAGCTAACAGTTCGTTCTAATCTCCACTATGTGATAATATGATATTTCTATAGCTGTGATAAAATGAATATGCTTCTCAACATGTCTAAATAAATTGGCTCAGAAACAAGTGAGTCTGTGAGTATGTAACAAGAAGTTTTCATGCTCTCTATGCCTTGTGCCCTCAGGTTTACAGAACAAATTAGATTTTAGTAAACATCCTTAAAACTGCAGGGATTTCCAAAGTCTTTAAGTGAACAAACTTTGTTTGGATATGGA